ATATTTTGATAACAGGGATGTTTAAAAAATAACTTCAGAGTGTCCTTCAGTCCGTCTGTCTGTACATAAAAAACTGTTTCCTGTGATCACTTTTAAAGAACTTTTTCAACAAATTTACTTAAAATAGGAACCTAAGTGAATGGCCAATGGCCCTTCAGAATGTTGCTTGGGCTCTTACCGGTAGGGGACTTATGGATTGCTTGCAATACTATGATAATTGCTTGTTTTACTTGAACTGTAACCTATTTACGGTACCAATGTCTATAGTGAAAGTTCTTCGAAAAAGAATGTTAAATCTCGCTACTTACAGTCAGTGCGCTCGATTGTTCTCAGTGCTTGGTAGTAAAACTGTATAATTTTTTAAGTTCAAAGGGCCGTAGTTCTGTCAAAATTTATATTTACAATTATAGCTCTTCTACTTTTCGAATAGTCGAGCGTAAACAAGAGATTTAGTCAATCATAAATCGAAACAGGGATATTTTAACTGCCTCAAACAGAACACCATAGAAACTGACTGAAAGTTGTAGCAATGAATCAAATCAATTGGATGGCCATTTCCAGGAAAAAAGTTACTGTTGATTTTAGCATTGGCGAAACTAACAATAGTTTGTTGGATGATGCTAAAAATCTGCTAAAAATCTATCATTTTTTTTGGTATATCGTCTGACATTATAAAAAACAACAACATTAACATGACATTTACAGTCCCATCCCAACTCAACAAAATAATTATCGGCCATATCAAGCTGAACATCGTGTTAAGCTAAGCTTGTAAATAAGGAAACTTACCAAATTTGGGGTCCAAAACGTTATCCATTTATCCATTTAACATTGACGCAAGACATGTTCAGAGACGGTTTCAATGTTGAATGACTTAATTAATCTCACTCATGAAGGCAGGCATTTTAACATCGTTCATTATGAATAAAAGTGAATTATGTCCGATTGAAATAAGTGCACGAAAATTCCGTGCGAATATAATTTTACCTTCACCTTTCTTAAGGCCATGCAAATATTTTCTATAGTTTTATATTTTCAATGTGAACATAAATTTAATTTCAGTTAGATTTATTTATAATTAAATGTGTTTATTAATTTATCTGTTCTTTACACTTAAACGTCGTATTTATATCATAAGTCGGATACAGTTACTCGTATTTTCTTCGAAAGTGTCTTCTTAATGACGTAAAGAAGACAGTTCGCTAGGGCAAACAACAATTTATCCTCGGCTTCGCCTCGGACAATTTGTTGTTTATCCTAGCAAACTATCTTTTTACGTCTCTAAGAAGACGCTTTCGAAGAAAAAACTCGTACTGTATCCATTACTTATTCAAAAATCCTTCGATGCATGACAAAGTTACAGCCCATACACGATTTGTGAACCTATTAATTCTATTTGTGATGTGAAACTTCAAATTGTTAGTGTGACCTTGGCCTTTGAGGTAGGGACGTAATTCTTGGTTTCGACACATCGTCCTGATGTGGTAGACATTTATGCCAATCATTCGATGCATGACAAAGTTACAGTCCGAACACGAATTTGTATATCTATTTACTCTAATTGTGATAATGTGAACAATTCAAAATGTTAGTATGAACTTGACGTTTGAGGTAGGGACGTGTTTCTTGAACGCGACACATCGTTTTGATGTGGTAGACATGTGTGCCAAATTATTTCAAAATCCCTCAATGTATGACAAAGTTACAGTCCGGACACGAATGAAGTGGGGACGCACAGACAGACGGACGGGCGGTGAGATTATTGCAATATGCCTCCCTTGGGAGGGGGGGGGGATAAATAATCAGGAGGCGCATGCCCCCTGACCCCCTAATTTTCCTCGGTCAAAAAACAAGTCTGGCTACGCCATTGCATAGTAACCACACTGGCCATAGCTTTCGCAGAAGCGGTGGGTCTACCGCAGCGACGGTGGAGTGTTCGTCGCAGAAGCGGTGGATAAAATATGGCCGTTTGTTGTTTTCGGTAAGTATATGACTGAATTTTGTTTTATGTTTTACTGGAAACACTCAGTGAGACTGGAGCCCACATATATACTCTTTCAACCTATTACAAGGACACGGTGCAATTCATTGCCGTTTATGCAAATACTTCTGTACAGTTTGATGAGGGGACGCCACTTTTGCCTAATTTTGGTTAAAACACATACAAATGTGTGCAAAACGACCCCATAATGCATCGGCATCACATCCAATCAATGATACTTTCACAAATTAACCATAATTTGGAAAATTTGGAAATTATTATTGCCTGTTTATAAAATAAATGACAAAAAAATGTTTTCGTCGCAGACGGCGGTGGATTCGATTGCAACGCAGTGCGGTGGGCCCGATACCATTTTATATTTATATTTTCAGAATTTAACTTGACGTAAGGCATTTTTCAATTGAGTACAGCCCTTTTCTTACTTTGACATCTGAGAAACGTGCTTATTTGATGTTTAAAACGATATTAATTATTACATATACGTTCGTACAAGTATATGTCCGAGGTCCGCTTTCATTTTCTTGCCATTGAAAATTACTTCAGCCATAATTATCATTGAATAATCTACGTTCAACCTTGGACTTAAAAAGACCGTAAGTTCATTTTTGTCATACAGACATATAAAATATACTCGTAAAGATAAACAGAACATACTTCTTGAATACGAAAAACAACCTCAGTTTTTAATGTCACTGTGTTATATTACCAAATAGTGAGAACACTAATATAAATAAATTTTATGTTTACAGCGTAAGAGTTATTTCAGGAAAAGTTTTTTCTCTAATACTTTTTAGCAAAGACCTACGCGTTTTTTCTTCTTTTTCTTAAATTGGGACATATATAAAAAAAATGGTTTCAGATATGGTATATGTTTAAAGAATTTTTTAGTATGAAATGAAATAAAAAAAGGTAATAGAAGTATTTTATGGAATTAAGTCTTTCTTTAAAAATGTACAAAAATATAGTAAAGAACTTAATAAGCGGGAGAAAAAAGATTTTTCAGAATTACATTTAAGTTATATGACCTTGAAATAACCACAATTAAGGAAAAACTCAAATTCACGTACAGGAAATGAGATCGGTGACCCCTAGGTTTTTTTTCCGCTCTAAATGTTTATGTTATCATATTCTAGCATCATGCTTAATTTAAAGAATATAATTATATTGAACCTCCTTAATTTTGCGTGTATATGTTTATAATACTGCACATTTGTTATGTCACTTTTAATTGGATAATCGTGACGTTTATATACATACAATGTACTTTTTAAATACATGGCTGCCGTCGATTTATGAAATTATCTCATTTTTCTCTAACAAAAAATGCTTGATGTATTATGAGTTCGTTGTAAATAAATCCAACAGATTATATATGGTCGTATATAAACGGGTGTTCGCAATATTAATGGCTATCGATCGAATTTATTTACAATACTTGTACATGTTGTAAACATCAGAAAATAAAGTTACAAATAAACTAAAGAGCTCTATAATTAGATAAACGTCTCGATTTTCCAATCAAACATGCAGTATTAAAAAGCTTATATATTTATATACACGACTGCTGTTTATTTAATAAGAAATTTTATGTTTATGTATTATATTTGAAAAACAACCGTTTATATACGGCCATATTGTATAGCCTTTCAAAATATTTATAACTAATATGATACTCTCGAAAATGCCATGAATATGTGTTAACTTATGTTTTTATAACTCATATGCCGTAATGCAAAAATATATGTATATATATGTATATACCTGCCATGCCGCTTTTAATAAGTCAGAAATCGGCATTGGTTATACGGTATAACACGTGATCACGTGTAACATGTAAATGTCTGACACATGTGATATTTTGGCTGGATTCATCACATTTGTGGAATTCCCTGCACATCGCTATATTTCCTTTCGGTGGTGCATCAAGGTCAAATATTATGACTCTTAGTTTCCGCCGTTTCCTCTACGGTCCGGGTTGTCAAATGCATGAACCCTAATATGAACTTGGAAATACAAATATGATAAAGGGCATTATATATATTATATGTTCTTACTTTCCTGCGCTTTTCAACTGGAATGGTGCATTCACACTCAAATATACTTGATACTTAGTAATAACCCGAAATAAATTGTTGAACGTGGCTTATTCTATGATAATTATGGCTGAAGTAATTTTCAATGGAAGGAAAATGAAAGCGGACCTCGGACATATATGTGTACGAGAGTATAAATAATAATTAATATCGTTTTTAACATCAAATAAACACGTTTCTCAGATGTCAAAGTAAGAAAATGGCTGCACTCAATTAAAAAGTGCCTTACGTCAAGTTAAATTCTTAAAATATACAAAAATGGTATCGGGTCCACCGCACTTCGTTGCAATCGAATCCACCGCCGTCTGCGACGAAAACATTTTTTGTCATTTATTTTATAAACAGGCAATAATAATTTCCAAATTTTTCAAATTATGATTAATTTGTGAAAGTATCATTGATCGGATGTGATGCCGATGTATGATCGGGTCGTTTATGCACACATTTGTATGTGTTTTAACCAACATTAGGCAAAAGTGGCGTCCCCTCATCAAACTGTACAGAAGTGTTTGCATAAACGGCAATGAATTGCACCGTGTCCGTGTAATAGATTGAAAGAGTACATATGTGGGCTCCAGTCTCACTGAGTGTTTCCAGTTAAACATTAAAACATAAAACAAAATTCTGTCATATACTTACCGACAACAGCAAACGGCCATATTTTATCCACCGCTTCTGCGACGAATACTCCACCGTCGCTGCGGTAGATCCACCGCTTCTGCGAAAGCTATGGCCAGTGTGGTAACATATCAGATTGAACACAATAATGGTAAAATCTGTCAAGTTATTTTGATTTTTATATCCACGGACAATTTTCACTAGGATTGGCATAATTAATGTCATTTTAAGCTGATTACAGAAATGTTTCAGTATCATATAAGTTTACATAAAATAACAACTCTGTATCTTTCAGATATATTTAATTATTATTCCTTACATCTATAAATAAAAAGTTCACATAAAGTTATGCTAATACTACATCGATTAACAAAAGCTGTAAGTAGGACAGCATGCTGGACTGTTCTCCAAAATTAATACATGAAGTAAAAAATGTCAAGATAATGATTGTATGAATTAACAAAGACATTTAACATTTGAGCCGTGTCATGACAAAACAAACATAGTGCATTTGCGACCAGCATGCTTACAAACCCTATTACAAGTAGAGAAACTGATAGCGAACAGCATGGATCCTGATCAGACTGCGCGGATGCCCAGGCTGGTCAGGATCCATGCTGGTCTCAAACCCACTATGTTGGTTTTGTCATGACATGGCTCATTTTATTTAAGATATATGACATAGTTATGAGTCTTGGATAGTGACCCAACAAGTTATCAAAGGTCCATTTAACAGATGTGTCACATTTATAGCCCTTGGTAGGTGACCTTCAATTATAACTCTGAAGCTGTTTTGGAATCACATGGACATACCTAACAAGGTTTTTATTTGGGTTTTACATTGCAACAACACAGTAGAGGTCACAGCAAATTCTCAAATTTTCTGAAGAAGACCTCAGGTGCCCCACCTTGCATTATTTGAAACATCAGCAGGCTCCTATGGCAACTTCCCAGCTTTAATGTTGTAGGAAGACATCAATAGCCACTATGTGCATTAAAGGAACTCCACTGAGGTCCTATAGCCTAAAATAATACATTTTGAAATCTTTCTTAAATCAACTGGTACAATAAAACTTGAAACCAATCAATAGATGATATATAAATATACATGGTATGAAATTGATAATCGATTTTTATGCCATTTTTTGGCCGATTTTTATTTTTTGGGCCAATTTGCACAATAAAATTGATTATTTCTGGGAAACGGAGTAAGGAAATGATCTGAAATTTTGTACATGAGTTATTGGTCTAGACATACATCTAGTTATATAAAAATCTTGAAAAAATATTTTTGGTCCCTTCACATCAAAAAACCTCAGTGGAGTCCCTTTAAATCAGCAACAGAAGGCACCGGAGAACAACCAACATTCTTTGTGCTACTTGAATAGCTTCCACACAAAACCTGGCAGGATTATAACACATAAATGTGAGAAGCATCATTCTGTTTCAGTCATATACGTAATAATTTTCAAAATTGAATTGTGCACTTTCGTGAAATTAGGTTTCATTGAACATAAACATGTACTAAATACTTAACATGAGAAACTGTATTTGTTATATTCTAGAATCAAAGCAGACAACATTTATGAAACACTTGTCTCCCTCATTACTAGAACAAGATATCAAATAAAACTCACAAATATCCTCAAGATATTGCACAATCCCTTTTACTACTTTAATTATTCATTCATTTACTCTTTCATTCATTCATTCATTTAACATGAACTTAAACAAACATAAATGAACTTACTTTAGACATAAAACTGATATATGACAATGTGATATACCCATACATACTTTTTCAATCACATACTAAATGATTAATAATAAAGTAAAATTATCTATTATTTTCTGGATTTTCTTTGAAAATGTTGCATAACGTTTCTACAATTTTGCTCTTTGATTCACAAACTATAAACACAATACATGTTATTAAAAATGGAATGTTTTGACTCGTATCAGACATACATGTACACATTATTTCACAATCAGTTGAATTCACTTGTTTTCAGCCACATAATTGGTCTATATAATATCATGTGTTATCATAAAATTGTTGTGTTTTCAGAGAATGTATCTATTTTTTCAGAGAATGTATCTATTTTTTCAGAGAATGTATCCATTTTTTCACAGAATTTATCCATTTTTCACAGAAAATGTTGCTCTCGGAATGTCTTTTCTACTATTATAATGCCAGCATATTATGATTCTGGGTCATTATAAACAAACACTTGGGCTATTTCATCATGCTCGTAGGTCCTCTTCAAGAAGTTATCGGTCAGTCTCAGGCCCGATATTGTCTGAAACAAAGATAGACAGCTCGTTGTATCTCATTATTTGCGACAATTTACTACTGTTTATATGTTTTCGATTAATGCCTGAAAACTTTCAAACAACTATGGTACAGGTAATTCATCCAAGCATATAGAATTCTTTAAATATATTTTTTTTATAATATATTTAATAAATTCTCTTTCAACATCTTTATTTAGAGGCTAACTTCCTACAGACCTTTGTATTTGTTAAACTGTGCATATGATTTTGAACTGTGCATTTTTTTGTAACAAAGCACTTCTTTTGAATATACATACAATGGCCCCTCCTCCTAACGGTGAGTTAAGGATGAGGGGCATTATTGGAGTAAAGCCGGAGGCTGAGCATGTACACACTAGCATGTTATCTTGACCTTTGAAATAGCCATCGCTGGTTTAAAAATAGAATAAAACTGTCACCGAGTCACATGACATACCCCTGATAAATGTAACCGCAGTAGAACCCGCAACTCATATTTTAAAACCTGTTGTTTGTTGTTGGAAAAAATCTCACACAATGGGAGGGAAACAGGGAAGGGTGTGTACATGCTCAGCCTCCGGCTTTACTCCAATAATGCCCCTCATCCTTCACTCACCGTTAGGAGGAGGGGCCATTATTTTACGTAAAGCCTTTGGCTTTCACATGTACACACTAGCATCTTTAAAAACCAACAACAAACAAAATCATATGATATACAAAAATATCAAACGGAAAATAACATGAACTTTCAAATTGAAACAAATAACTTTATTCATTACTCACAGTTACTGTAAACAAGATAATACAATATCCACCATGATAAAGGAAAATAACACCTTTAATTAAACACAGCATCTGAAAAAGATTTTTCATTTAATGAAACTCTATTATAGAATTTATAAAAGTTTTTGTCCGACTTCCAATCCGCTGTACGTAAAATAGTTCTTAAAGAACACCCTTTACTGAAAGCTGCTGAAACTGATGCACCTCTAAAACTATGTGCTTTAAATATTGAAGTATTTATTCCAGACAGTTCTAAAACCGTTCTTAACCACCTTGCTATTGTAGTTGTAGTCACAGAGTTATGAGTAACATATGAAATAAAAACTTGTTGAGATTTCCTGATCTCTTTAGTTACTGAAATATAATGCAACAAAGTGTGCATGACACATAACGCCTCATTACTATAATGCTCCAGACATAGGGAAAAAGACTGTCCTTTTTTAGAAGTCTTTAACAATTTTGGAAAAAGAAAAACAATACGCAAACTTTCTATAAACATGTGCTTTAACGATAAAGCCACCATAGTCTGTGCTCTAGGAGCTGCTGCTAGTGCCACAAGTGCTACCACTTTAAAGGTTAAAAGCTTTAAAGGCAATTTTTCTAATGGCATTAAAGAAGACAAATACTTTAAAACAATTGTCACATCCCAAGTAAAATGATATTTTGGTTTAGGTGGTGTTTTCATAAATATTCCTTTCATAAATCTTGTAATTAAAAAACACTGGTTACACCATTTGTTTCCGAAAAATGGTAAAGTTTGAAGCAACATTGCTTTGTGTAGGTTAATAACTGAATAAGACTTTTTCTGTTTATACAAAAAACCCAAGTAATTTAACACTTCAGTTTCAGACGTACAAATGGGATTTTTACTCCTGAAAGTACACCAAGTATGCCATTTTTCCCATGCAAATCCATATTGCTTACCAGTACCTGCTGACCATGAGCTGATAACTGTGTTAATAACTGTCTTTGAAGCTCCTGTGTGACAGAGCGCTCTCCTGATACACAAACTGCGAAGATCTTCATCTTCTTGCTGAGAGGATGATGCTCCCCATTGTGAGGCAAAGTTAGTAAGTCCCTGTGTCTGGGCAGCCTAACAGGAAGAGAAGTAATTCTTTCTAATAAAACAGGAAACCATGCCTGAGCTCTCCAAAAAGGAACAATTAAAATAGCTCTTTCTACACTATCCTGAACAATTTTGTTCAAAACTTTTGAAATAAGACTGAATGGTGGAAAAATATATGGCTTAAATGGTTTCCACGACAATGAAAATGCATCTACATGAAAAGCCCCCGGTTCAGGGAACCATGATATAAACCTTGATAATTTCTTGTTTAATCTTGAAGAAAATAAATCAATATCTGGCATAAAGAAATGCGTGCATACACGCTGAAATATATCATCTTTTAACATCCACTCTGTCGAGTCGGAAAAATTTCTAGAATAAAAATCTGCCATAACATTACATTTTCCTGGAATATGAACTGCCGAAATAAAAATGTTTCTACAAATACACCAGTCCCAAATTTCTTTGGCCAACTGGTCCATATCAACGGAAGTCATTCCTCCCATATCATTTATATATTTTATAGCTGATGTATTATCAGACTGAACTTGTATATGTATATTCAAACAATTACTATAAAGAGATTGTAAACCATAAAAAATTGATAAAAGTTCAAGATAATTAATATTATTCTGAGCTTCTTGAATTTTCCATCTACCACCAGCGTGTCTTTCGGAATTAACTTCAAATGAACCCCAGCCAAGATTACTCGCATCGGAGCTAAAACATTTTTCAACAGCAGGTGGTCTTATTAATTTACCATTTTTACTTTTAACATTATTTTTCCACCATGTTATTTCTAATCTACATTTCTCTGACAAATAAACCTTATTGTCAAAACAATTATCGTAACCCAAACCTTCAAGTTTATTTCTTTCCATATTTCTATAATATAAAGGTGCCTCTAAAATAGCATAGAAAGCATTAATAATTAAACCAATAAACGAAGCTAGGGTTCTAACAATTACAACCTTAGATTCAAGCAAATCCTGAGCATTTTTCTTTATCTTTTCCACTTTTTCATCAGTCAGAAAAACTTTAAATTGTACTGAATCGATGATAAAACCAAAAAATTTGATTGTTTTAGTAGGAATCAATACTGATTTTTCCCTGTTAATAGTGAAACCAAGAGATATCAAAGTTTCTAACATGTATATAGTATTTGCTTGACAAATTTCTCTATTCAAATGCATATTCAAGGAGTCATCAATATAATATGAACATCTAAATCCCCTTTGTCTAAACATAGCATAAACTGGCCTAAGAATCTTTGTAAAAACATAAGGCGCAGACTTAATTCCAAAAGGTAATGCTATAAACTTGTACAAAATTCCATTCCAGGAAAACTTTAAGTACTTTTGAAAATTTTCATGTATAGGAATACTAAAATAAGCATCTGTCATATCAACGCTAGTCATGTAATCATCACGCTGAATAAGATCTAAAACTACCTTAAAGGTTTCTTGCTTAAAGTGATTATAATGAATGAACTCATTTAAATATTTCAAGTTAATGACTGGTCTAAATTTCCCATTAGGTTTTGGTACAATGAAAATTGTGGAAATAAACTGATTTGGTTCAGCAGTTGAAGGGATAATAGCTCCCTTATGTAATAATTGTAAAACCTCGTCATTTACAATCTGCCATTGTTCTTCGCAAAAAGGAATTTCTATAGGAATTTTATCCTGAAATGGTTGCTCATCAAAATGAATACAATAGCCACTTATTGTTTCAAGAACCCAAGCTTCATTTGTGATTTCTTTCCATTTTTCTAAACAAAATTTAGTTTTACCTACAGATTTTATATCACTTACCTGTTTAATTAGGCTTGATCGTTTGGGGAGCGTGAAGCTGTAGCAGTGGCAGTCTTCCTGCCTCTACCCCTATAATACGGCTGCCTTCCGGCATAATTCTTCTGATATGATGACTGGCCATACATGGATTGACCATAAGAAGGATACGGCTGAGACCTGACGTTTTGGTATACAGAATGCTGATTAAAGAAGCCTCTACGAGGCGCTCTTCCATAGCCATAACCTCTTCCCCTAGGAAGAAATCTCTGCTCTTTTCCTATATAGCTTAAAGCATCACAGTTCTTAATTTCCTTTGCCAAGTCATCACCAAACAGTTTGTCTGTAATCGGCGTGTTAACATTACACAAATTAAAATACTTCTTTTTTAAATTAGGTCTAATCATATACCTTCTACGAAGGGAAATATTTAACTGAACCTGTCCTAATATTGTTAAAGCCTCAGACAGCATAGTTTTAGCCTCAACATTAGAGTTAATACTGGGTTTAAGAATTTCAGATAACCTTATAATAGGTACAATACTAGACGCTACAAGTGTCTGTATATCTTGGAAAGATCTATCCTGCCCCTGTGTCTTTTTATCCAGGATTTTCCATATCTCCTTATTCACAGAAGGGGAACCAATATTAACACAGTTCTCTGGAATTTTGTATTTCTGAACAACAGTCTCAATATCACACTGTTCCACACAGGCAGTGTTAATCAAATTTGCCAATGAACTATTAACTGGTTTACTCTTTTCAGGGGCTTTCAGCTTCGGAAGATCCCAATCTTTCTCTTCTAATTCAGACTCTTTATCAGAATCATCAAATAATGCATCAATCATTCTGCTTGACAAATTTTTATTACACGGTTTCTTCTTAAAATGTTCATTTTCTGAAACTTCGACGTGAATATTTGGCAAATTTTCTAAAGCACCTAACGGTGACTGATAATACATAGCTTCCTCTGAATCATACTCTGGCACCACGTGCTCTTGGGGATAGTCAATTCCTAAGGCCTGCCTCAACGAGGACAGGTCAGACGAAGACAACTTTGATACATCAAAATTCATACCTGAACTTTTCTTCTTCGTTGTTTTTCCTTTCTTCTTACTTTTAGACTTAGTGTCTTTATCCTTCTGTTTCTTCGAAACTTTGACACGTGGTATAGTAAATCTAGAAGATTCTGCGTTATTTACGGTATCTTCCGGAATAACAATAGTACTATTATTTTCTTGAACACACTGTTCATTATCACTACGCAAATTAGCGTCACTAAATCCAGAAAACTCATCCGAGTCTTCTCCACCGGACAAAAAGTCCGCCATGTTGTCTGCTTCACCAGAAGCTCGGCTCATATCTACGATATGTCTACAAATACCGGTTACCACACCGTAAGGTGGTAAAAATACACAAACACAACAACAAAAGAATAGAAATAAAATCCAAATAATATCCCGAAAACACATTAAAATCTTGAAAACCAGCGAAACATTAGACTATAAAAAACGGCATGACTGCCTTCATTGCGTCGCCAAAATAACTATGAGTTGCGGGTTCTACTGCGGTTACATTTATCAGGGGTATGTCATGTGACTCGGTGACAGTTTTATTCTATTTTTAAACCAGCGATGGCTATTTCAAAGGTCAAGATAACATGCTAGTGTGTACATGTGAAAGCCAAAGGCTTTACGTAAAATAATGTCATGTATTTCCAAACATATTAAAGTGACATTATGTTTATGTTTTTATTGTCAAGTTGGGCTGATATGACTATTAAACTTCAAAAGATTGACTGTAACAATGGTGATTGACCAACAATTGATATTGGAAAATGTTAAAAATAAAATGTGTACAATGTAAATCTGCCTAAAATATAAAAAGACTGTTTTTATAAATTGAACGATACAGGTAATTATAAAACTTTTCTTTGGCCAGGCAAGTTATTTATGGTTCATGCAAAGTAAATTTTTAAATTGAAACAAATTATGACGAAATGTAAACTTATTTTTACTTTCACCTGGTCACTCACTTCATATATTTGGATGGGCATAATGTAACTTTAAAAGAAATTAGTAAATGGCTGAAAGACATAATAATTGTAATTTGATGAACTACACCATAAAATCAAGTTTAAAAACCACCCCGTATAACCTGTTATGTAGTTACCGGTAATCGTGGTGAGAAGGTTCAGAAACAAATGTTTAAAACCACCCTGTTTTACCCATAATTTAGTTACCTGTAATCCAGGAACAGTGGTGATAATGTTCAGAGACAAATGTTTAAAACCACCCTGTTTAACTTGTAATGTAATTACCTGTAATCCAGGGACAGTGGTAATAAGGTTTAGAGATAAATCCATGTGTTCATTCTGTGGCAGGGTGCCAAGTTTCTGGCCAGAGAGGCCGCACCACATGAGACCCGAGTTCAAGTCATTCTGTAACACCATTGTTAGTTCCATATCTCTTTCACTGAAATTTGTGATTTAAGTTTTAAACAATTGTATATCTATCAGTGAGAAACATATCAAACTATTGGAAAAGTACAATTTTGTTAGGTTTTTATATGCTTATTATCGTATCTAGAATGGTCCATAAACTATTGAAATGTACAAAGATTATGTAAGACAAGACATATTGCTATAGGCAATGGATTCTCCCAAAACCTAGATGTTTGTCAATGTATTTCAATGCTAAATAATCAAGAATATATAAATCATGAAGGTACTATAATTTTCAATTTTGCAGTATTTATCTCCATATTTCTACTCTTCCACTGCATAATGATTTCTAACACAGGGTTATTTTTACATATTTGACATGTTTTTTTGTAATTTACATGGATTATAAGTGCTGTTTTCAATGTGTAGATTACTTTATTTGCTCACTTTACAATACTTTGCTTTTAAACACATTTTCAAAATTTTCATTCAAATAGCATGCATGAACCTGGAGACGTCTTGCTTTAATAAGAACATAAATTACCAGCAGTTAGTTATTCTAAGAGTTACATCAAATGTTTTCTCCAATGGTACACTATCAGGCATCTTCTCTACTGTCACTCTGATATCCCCATACCCCGGGGCCTGAAATAAGTTATAAAAGTTAATATGATATTCCAATACCCCGGGGACTGAAATAAGTTACAATAGTTAACATGATATATTAACATGATATACATGATATGTACATGTACTGCAGTACCATGCACTATCTGAACTAACATTATTCTAATATTTCTGATACCCAACAACAAAGTATCAAATAATTGCATAATTTAAAAAGTTCAGCTTAACAAAAAATGATGAAAAACCTTGGAATTACACAAAAACTAGATTTTCCATGTTAACACATGCCCTTACACCGACATTTGGTTAAAAATCATTGTTTTTTGACATTTTTTATTTTTTTAATTAACCTTTTACCCCATGAGCATATTGCGAAAAATGGCCGTTTTCATTGAAAAGCCTCCTGTAACAAGTTCAAACTGCTATGAAACTATGAAAAATGCTTCAATACTAATGAAACTTGGCTCAAATGTTGACTACACCATAGCCTCTGTAACAGCATGCTCAATGGTAAATTTCCTGTTACCATGGCAACGGGGGTACGTCTCAAAATTGCCAAAAATCCCTATTTTGCATTGTTTTTTTCCATCAAAACTGATTTCAAAGTGCTGCAACTTCTCAATGAATTGAGATAGAGTAAAAGGCTTTTCAGCGTCGGTTACTAGTTATCCTAAGATCGACCCGAGGCCATTTTTAACCTGTCACATGTCCAAAATTTTCTTGGCGATGCCCCCTTCAAACCCCTCCAAACAGAAGGGGGAACATCCCCCTTCTGGCAACCCCCTGATGATATATTTGGATGTGGGACAGCGCCGAAAAAGTGGTCACTTTTTTTAACAACATTTATCAAACAGAAAACAGTGTTGGGGGCCTAAAAAGGGCCTTTTTTCACTGTTTGAGGCCTCAAAAAGGGGGGGGAAGCTGTCGAAACACGCTTATATATAAGGGAAAAGGTTAAATAGTAACTATTATTTCTATATACATGTAGTCAAACATTTGGCTTTCTATTTTTTAAAACCAGAAGACCTTTAACTTATTCAAATCCATTTTGCACTCAACAAATTTACCAATTAGATAACAAATAAAATGTAGTTGAATATCCAAGGGAAGTAAGTCCTACTTACCACTCTAAGAAGCTGACTAGTTTGTAATCTCCCTTTCTCTCCCAGGTTGGTTTTCCACACGATGTCTAATTTACCAATGTTGGTCACCCCTTTAAGCACCTTATTCTCTTGGTACATCTCTGGTTTGGGTGCTAGACAGTACAAATACTGCCGTGTGTCCATAGGGTTTAAGTAGTCAACTTTTCCAAATACATTGCCTGGTCTATAAAAACAGCAAAATTACAAAGATTATTCAGACAGTCAATGAATTTAAGATTTTGAATTTACTTGCTCGAAATTCTATTTTTGAATTTATTCTATTATGTATTTAACTAAATTTTCTTAAAATTTACACAGACACAAACTAATTCACACTGGCCATGGGCCACCAGGCCAGTGCTAAATTCGATGACTGTCAGAGATGGAACAAACTGTTTTTTACATCTAACAAAATGATAATTGTGGCTCTAAACAAACAATGTATACTGGAGAGCTTATTTTCTAATTTTCAGTCATGGACTTGACCTGTTCTGGTCTAAAACATTTTCAGTTAAATTAAATGAAAATCATAAGAGGCAGATTTCATGTGTGATAAATAGTAGCACAGACTCGCACTATAATCACTGGTACTGCTTGCTTGCACTAATTGCTTGTACTGATTACTTGTCCTATTGTTTTCATTGATTGCTTGCTTGCACTAATTATCAGCACAGATTGCTTGTGTTTTGATTGCTTTTGAACTGACTGCTTGTGCATTAATATCTTACACTAACTGCTTGCACAGACACTTTTAATGATTTTCTAGCACTAACTACTTAGACTTAACTACTTGCACTAACTGCTTGCACTGACACCTTGACTAGTTTACTAGCACTGATTACTTACACTAACTACTTGCACTAACACCTTGACTAGTTTACTAGCACTGATTACTTACACTAACTACTTACACTAACTGCTTGCACTGACACCTTGATTAGTTTACTAGCACTGATTACTTACAGTAACTACCAGTGATTTACCTACTTATATAACAGACTCCGAAAAAAGGCCTCTTCCCAATTGAAATTTTCTTTAAAATCATGCAGTTTTCCCAAAAATCTGAACTTAAACCAGCTTTTTCATTTCCCAAAACAACAATTTAAGCGATCATTTTTCCCAAAATCAAGAGGCTTAGGCCTCTTCCCAATTAATTGAGAAAAATCACTGACTACTTACAGTAACTACTTACACTATCTGCTTGCACTGACACCGTGACTAGTTTACTAGCACAGATCACTTACTCTTACTACTTGCACTAACTACTTGCACTAATATCTTGAATGGTTTATTAGCACTGATTACTTGCACTTATGCCATGAACTTTTTACTTGCACTGATTGCTTGCACTGTATTGTAAGGAAATTGCACATTAATGATAGAAATCTAATTTGTAAACTGTACACAACATCCTGTTAGCGAAATCCATAAATCAAATTGCATGTCTTCGCAATGCATGTTGTTGTTGCTATATGGTGACATCATACACACATCCGTTAACATTTTCTCACTAATTACAAACTATGATTAGAAATGTTAACAACAGTGAATCCAGTGCAACATTTCAAGGTTTATTATGAGGGCAGTATTTAATTTACAGGCTGTTGTTTGTTTATGTTAGACAAATTGATTTTAGGTGCAAACTGGTCATATTCAGATAAATAATTTTACAGAAAATATAAAAAATAAACAACGCCAAATTAATTACAGACTTTGAGCAGGTAAGGTCAAACTTATAATAATATCAAAAGACTTCAATAATGATTTGGTTTAATTGTTTGGTTCTGTGGCTTACCAACACAATTTAGGTCATATATTTGCCGAAACAGGAAAGATGATTTTGGCAAACCACGGGTGTTACAAACTTTAAAGCAACACAAGGGTTCAAAAACACCTCACCTGTTGCAGTTAAGAAATGCATAGACTCCAGTTATTTTAAATACAGGATTTAATCTAAATTTTGATCCCTTTAAAGACACAATTATGCCTCAGAAACAATTTATTTTTTCCTGTTTTTAAAGAAAGTAAACATAAATTTTATAAAGTTTATAATGGTATTGGAGCAAGTTAAAGGTGTTTATCATCTGAAGAAAGTAGCGCTGATTATGAAACTATTTGTCATTAAAGTAGCAACATGTAAACAAAGTAGAGTATTTTGACTGCCATACAAAATACTAAATCTAAATGTATATAACTTTACTAGTGATTGCTAAAAAGCAACAGAAGCAAAACATGGTTCAGTTTAATGGCCAATGAGGATTGGTTTTGAAAACTTAAGCACAGGGCAACAAAAATTAAAAGCTTTTGAAAACTTTAAATAAATGTTACTTTTTCTTGGCCTTCAAAAAACTAAATTCTTTCATAGTTTATTTTTTGCCTTGAAATAGTATAGTATCAGAACTATTATATTTTCCAATACTTCTGATACCCAACAATAATATTTTTATATAAACAACAAACTGACAACCAAGCAAACAATGTAGTAAATTGTTAGAAAACCTTTATTTTCTCTGAAATCTCAATGGACAATTTTTCATACACAGATAGAAATGACAAATATTTTTATAAGACTGGTATAACACATTTTTAAGTCTTGGATAATTGTTTTTTATCTTATTCACCATGTGTTTTTTGCCTCAAGAAAATCCCACAGGCAATTTGTGACCAGAAGTGTTCATAAAATATTGTATTGGTGTGAATAAACACTGTCTACATTGCCTGATTTTACTGAATGTAAACATTACCAAATTATATTCATTGTAACATTACCAGATTTTATCAATTCCAACATTACCAGATTATACCCCATTGTAGCATTATACCAGATTATATCCAATGTAACATTACCAGATTATACCCAATTGTAACATTACACCAGAGTACATCTAATGTAACATTACCAGATTATATATAATGTAACATTATACCAGAGTACATCTAATGTAACATTACCAGATTATATATAATGTAACATTACCAGATTATATCTAATGTAACATAACCAGATTATATCTAATGTAACATAACCAGATTGTATCTAATGTAACATTACCAGATTATACCCCTTTGTAACACTATACCAGATTATATCTAATGTAGCATTACCAGATTACACCCTATGTAACATTACCAGATTAAACAATACCCTATGTAACATTACCACATTAAATAATACCCTATGTAACATTACCAGATTATACACAATGTAACACTAGTGGACAGATTATACCCATTACATAACCAGATTTATAACTTATGTAAGATTACCAGATTACATTTTATGTAACATTACCATATTATACCCTAAATAACATTACCATTTTAAATAAATGTATAATAGTTTTTTAAACCAGATCTCACTTAATGAAAATTACTAGATTACATTGAATATTACCAGATTTCACTGAATACATTATCAGACCACACCTACTATTAACATTACCAGATTACTATTTATTCATCAAAATACAGCAAACTTGAGGTTTACATTTTAATTTAGACTATTTTATTGTATATTATCAAAACTTAAGTAATAATAAGGCACATTTAAACAATAACACCCATATTGAATTAAACATAAGCCTTGTTTCTACTTCAATATTTTCATTTCCTAGGACAGATACTTATTAAATGTATAATTAGACTGTATTTAACATGTTTGCCATGGACTGGTTTTAATATTCAACTAACCCAATGTAGTCAACTCATGGCAGACACAGATGGAACAAATCCAGTCTAACATTAGTCTGCCACAGACTGGTTGAAATATTCACCTTACCAAAAGAATTCAGTCCAAAGGCAGACACAAATTTTACAAATCCAGTCTGAGAAACTTCCAGACTGGTTCAAGTATTCAACTTACCCTTGTTTCTTCTCCAATGAATTCAGTTCCTCCGATTTGTACAGATTTGAAGGGTCCAGTCTGACATGTTCCATGTAGACTGGTCCAGGAGTAATGTTTTGTATCTGAACCTCAAGGTAAACGTCATCTGACTGAAGAAAACATACAAAAATATTTCTATATTCATTAATTACACCAATTCATTGGAAAACCCTTATCATGCTGTATTTGGGTAATGGATTTGCCCTGCTTTGACATTGTAAAAGTCCATTCAAATTCTAAGCAATTTCAATAAAAAAATTCTAAGTTATTTCAATAAAAAATATCAAAATTTAGTTTATAACTTGGTCAGACAGAATGGATGTGCACACTGGCCTGGTTCAATACTCATGGCAAAGGCTAATCCATTTCTTTTTTCAGCAATTAGTCAAGGGTTTAAAAGAACTGAGAATTCTTTTAATGTGCAAACATCTTCTATCATAAGATCAAAAGAGGAAAAAAGTTCTTATACAAATTCAAAGCCATCACTGTGGTTAGCAACAATGAAAAGAAATGTCTAAAAATAGAGAAATGATATTTGCAGATTTGTTTCTCCTGCCAAGTGGCCATATTGGTTAATATTTAGGAGTATGACATGAGAAATATTTGCGTCTGCTGCGAACATAAGAAAAGATTAAAGATGCTATGAAGATTTGTAACCTCAGCATAAATCATAATATTATAACTACTTGAATTTTTGTATATTTTTACATGTTCTAAATTTCTACAATGGACTTGTCCAGATCAATTTTAGTAATTGGCTAACATCAGTTTTTAGGATGACAAAAGATGATATTTGAATTTAGTCAATCAATTATTTTGGGTGTTGGGTTTTATGTTGCACCCACATGGTAAAGGTCAAATGGAGACCTCAAAAGCCCTTCTGTGCAATACTTCAGGTATGAACGGGCACCCGAGTAGAACCACTGACAATCCATAAGCTAGCTGGACGAAAGCTTCTTCACATAAAAAGGTTCAAAGACCCAGTCAGAATTGAACCCACAGCAGTTATGAACAAGTGGTTTGAAATCAACAACTTAAACCACTAGGCCACTGATGCCCCTAATCAATCAATACAGTATAGGGCATGGTGAGACTGCATGGATGTGCAGGCTGGCCTGACTCTATACTGATATCAAAGGCTGAATACTTTCTATTCCAGCAATTTAAGACTTAAAAGAAGAAAATTTCATGCAGAATTATCTACTTTTTTAAATAAAATTCTATATCAGTTTTCTTATGATTTTAAACATAACATTTATTTCTGGCTTTGCATGTATTCAAAGCATTGACAATTAAATGCTGAGCTGCACAGGTCACTAACTAACATAACTGCTATACCAGCCATGTGACTATTTAACAGAACCTGAATTGATGTACTTGTACCTTTAAACATCATTTAAGACAATATTGGTATTGGTGTTGATCAGTGCAAGTCTTAGTCATTTGTCAATGCTATGTTCACATGCTTGGCTCTTGCTTTTACTCCAATAACAACCCTCAACCATCAAGGCTTCAACAGGTGGACATTTTCTTATATTTTGATATATTGCACACTCAGAAATAAGCTTATTTTATGTAAAATAAATCTCCTACCACCATTAGAGTAAGGTAATACCAACATAAGGTAAAACAAGGTCATGACCCAATCAAAGCTCAAACCCCAGGAATGAATGAGGACAGCTCCTTAAGCAGTAGGCAAGTTATTATTCCAATTTATCCAAAATAATCTTAGTTTATACAAATTTATTTTAGTTCGATTGTGTTGGAAGCTATAAGCTTATTGAAACACTCTCAAATCCGTTCCTGGAACCAACCAGTACTAAGCAATGAATGTAAAGTTTCTTGCTCAAGGAAACAATGGCTTGCCCCTTGACACCTGGTTTGAACCCACGCGGTCAGCAGTCCTTAGATTACTAGTCCGACGCGTTAACCACTCGGCCACGCAGTCACACATTATACACATGCAACTAATTCTACATTGATTTGCAGCTGTTGAAATTATAACTCTAAAACTTAATGTTTTACAACATGAAAATAAAATTTTTCATAAATTCAAGAAATACTACACATAAACTGCTGTTCAAAGTCATAAATGACTATTAAGACCTTACTCTATATTGCTATAATTAGGTCTGACTTTTTACTGGGTGCCATTAAATACTGACTTATAAAACTGGCAGTGATCATTGAGTGGCATTAATGCCTAGTTCTATACTAGTGCCAGCTAGGAATGGCTCAATACTACATGTGGCAATTGGGCCTGGCTCTATATGGTGACTGGGAATTAGCTATGGCTCTAAACTGGTGGCCATTAAAAGGCCTCTTTAACAAAGGCAATAAGCCCTGGCTAATAAGCCCTGGCTATAAAACAGTGGCGATAAGCCCTGGCTCTATAACAGTGGCAATAAGCCCTGGCTCTACAACAGTGGCAATAATTATAAGCCCTGGCTCTATAACAGTGGCAATAAGCCCTGGCTCTATAACAGTGGCAATAAGCCCTGGCTATATAACAGTGGCAATAAGCCCTGGCTCTATAACAGTGGCAATAAGCCCTGGCTATATAACATTGGCAATAAGCCCTGGCTCTATAACAGTGGCAATAAGCCCTGGCTCTATAACATTGGCAATAAGCCCTGGCTATATAACAGTGGCAATAAGCTCTGGCTATATAACATTGGCAATAAGCCCTGGCTCTATAACATTGGCAATAAGCCCTGGCTCTATAACAGTGGCAATAAGCCCTGGCTATATAACATTGGCAATAAGCCCTGGCTCTATAACAGTGGCAATAAGGTTTATTATATAAGCATGGCTTTCCTGATCAAAGATTATTTTAAGTGCACATTAACGCTTATTGTTAGAAGCATGGTTTCTTTCTGTGAAAGAGCACTTGCCACTTTCCTGAATCAGACTCAAAATGGTGGGAAGTGGGCAATGAGAATTTGACATTTTTATCACCATTTTTTGCCATTAAAGTATTAAAAGAGGAGGCTAAAGAAATGGTTGAAGATGTAAATTAATTTAGATCAACATTAATGAAGACCAACTGTGATAAATATATATAGAACAAATATCTAAAAGAATACACACAATAAATGTTTTATATGATAATCTATAAAGAAAGAAAATAGTTTTGGTAGCTAGATTATTTAATGGGCTGAGAAAAAAAAGTTAGTATACAGACAAATTGTTTGTATGATTACAAGCTATTTTTAATATCAAAATATGAAAAAAAATCAAGTAAATATTTTAAATAGAAATTACATAATTATACAATATATATAACAAATCAACTGATTTCATAAAATACATAATGCCCTTGTCCCAAATCTGCACAATATCAACAAACTTAATTAGGATGTTATGAAGATTAAAAAAAGTGCCCTTCAGACTAAATTTATTTGGAGCCAAACTAACACTGTAAAGGTCAAATAGAGACTTTAAAGGCTTAATGGTTGAGACTGAACTGACAGGTGCCTCTCAATACATTACTTCAGACAAAAGTTTAAGCACCTGGTTAGGAACATGACTTTCCAGAAACTAAGTTGATAGCTTCCTCACATGAAATAAACCAAAGTCTCTGTGGAGATTTGAGCCCATATCAGTAAGGGGCAAGCTATGAAATGCTAAGCTTGACCACTAAGCCATACACAGGTGGGTCAATGCCATATTTCTAAATAAAGCACTTTTTTAGTATTAAAGGCTCTATATATGTGAACAAGGATATAAGACCAAAGTTTAAAGCTCAATGACCCCAGAGAGTGACAAGAGACAGATCAAAAACAATTGAGCCGCGTCACGACAAAACCAATATAGTGGGTTTGCGACCAGCATGGATATAGACCAGCCTGCACATCGGTGCAGTCTGATTAGGATCCATGCTGTTCGTTTACCAACTCTATTACAAGTAGAGAAACTGATAGCGAACAGCATGGATCCTGATCAGACTGTGCGGATGCGCAGGCTGGTCTGGATCCATGCTGGTCACAAACCCACTATATTGGTTTTGTCGTGACGCGGTCACAAACCCATTATGTTGGTTTTGTCGTGATGCGGCTCAATTTATAATACAGCACATTTGTAACATCGCTTTTCATTGGATAATCACAACATTTAATGATTTATACAGTTTTATATACAAGGCTGCTGTTAACTTATCAAGAAATCTCCTTTTTTTCTCTTAAAAAAGAAAGTTTGCTGTACTATAAATTTGTTATAGATATTCCCCCCTAGGTTATATGGCTGAATATAAATGGTTCTTTGCAGTATAACCCTCACCTAGTGGCTCAGGTTATATTTCCAAACAATCATATACAGGGTTATAATTATAACCTGCCAAAAATCTTTAAAACTATTAATATACAGCCCTCCATCCTTTAAAACAATAGTATCAGTGAAGGGGCAAATCATAAAACTAATACACAACTAAATACCCTGGACAAATTTATATGTCTTTCCTTTCCATGAAATGATTACATAAAAATAAAAAAAATTATTTGAGAAACTAAAAACAATAGTACAAGTAAATTATATAATGGCTATGGTATGTAACATAAAATGGTTCAAATATACAGATCCCACAAGAAAGAAGTAATTTCATAACCACCTTTTCCATAACTATGACATTTCTGCAATGAAAGTGTCATTTCTGATGACATAAAAAAAATTTGCTAGGAATTTAATAGAAAGTTGTCAGACGGACAGGTTCCCAACTATTCCCAGTGTTTGATTTTGCTTTGATGAGACTTTTTTCTGCATATAATACCCCAATGAATAAATTAAGCACTTGATATAAAAATAAAGCAATCAGCTTATTTTCAGGACTAACCATCAAATTTCTTAAGCATTTATTATTGCAGAAATACATGTAGACAGATCAACACTGTAGCATTTTCTTTCAAAGCAGAATCAAATAATAACAAATTGTTATGGAAAAAGTGGATATTCACCCTTCACCTGCTGATCCCCTATACATTAATAATGGATTTGCCCTACTTTGAATTTAGAACAGTCCATATTAAGTTTAAGGGATTTCAATATCAAAGCTACCAACAGTATAGAGCCTGGTCAGACTGCACGGATGTGCAGGCTGGCCTGGCTCTATACTGTTGGCAAAGGCTAATCCACTTAAGATACCAGCAGGGTACGGGTTTAAAGTAGGGTCCAGTAATAATAGTGTACCTGAGATAGACCAAACAGAGAGAAAAAAGCCAGCACCATTTAAAAAAAGAGTATGTTTCACCCAAATAGTAACACTTACTACATAATCCTACATTAAAATCAAACAAACATATTAACTACAGATTCTCTCTATTGCACATTTAACAAAATTTCAAAATCATTAATAATATGAATGTAAACAAGAGCTGTTGGTAGGACAGCCTGCTCGACTATTCTAGATAAACAACAGCCTGGATAAAATTGTAGAATTTCTAATTTAAAAAAGGCCATATTTTTGTCAAAATCCCATGTCAGAGTTATGGGCCTTGTAAAATGACCTCATATTTTGCTCTGAAATAAGTGTTTAAAGTTTAAGCTTTCAGTTTCATTCCCTTAAGTTGTTTTAGTGATACCAATTAAACTTGCAAAAACTTAACAAAAGTGTGACCACAAAGCCGGAGTATTGTACAAAAAGCTCTCCTAATTCTTTGAAAAGTCATGCTAAAAATCAAATGGAATATAACATATCAATAAAGCCTATCTGACATCAATGTATAAGTGTTTGCAAACTGAAAAAACAACTGATACCAAAAAGGGTGACATAAAATTATGACCTATATCGTTGCTTTTAGTAATTAACTTTCAAATCTATACATATAACCTAATTTATAACAATCCATATTGTCAATGGTCAGAGGTCACTAAACAGATTTTAGCATTCTGACCTTTAAACTATATTTTGACCTTTAAACTATCAGGATGACATTGACCTTAAATGTATGCAATTGGCAAACCTGTCCCTGTTTTTCCAGAAATTAAAATTTTATGTTTTAAGACTGAGACCTCAATTGAAGTTGCTTTAAAACAAAATTGTAGAATAAACATAATTAGAGACATTTAGATCTAACCCAGAATTTTGACCTTGACCTTAGATGTATGGCTAAAAGTATTTTCTCTACAACACGAAACCTTGGTCAGCAAATGACAACATTGTCAATTTTTCTTAAGATACAAAGTCAGGTCCATACCACAAACTGGAAAAAATACATTTTTAATGTCTGTATCTGTAATTTGACCTTGACCTTCAGACTAATCAGGCTGAAGGCGTTTCTTTTTGACAATTATGAACAATTTCGCTAACACACATGCAGTCTTGTCTCAAATTGAGTCATAAATTATATGGTATTATATAACAGTCATCAATATTCATCAAAAATTTACTTCCATTAATTGTAACCAGAAATCCAATTACTTTATTCTCTTAAAATCTAAAATAACCCTTGAAGACAAATTCTAGGAGAAGATATGAGAATTATAATGGCTGCCAGTAATGGAAATGTTTCCATTTAGCAAAGGAATGAGCACTTGAAAAAGATGCTTCGCCTATTTTGAGGTATAGATTTTCTGAATTATAAATGCGCACTTAATGTCTTAATATGTCTACAAAAGATAAGAAAGAACGGTGCAGCCTAAAATATCCTAATATTCAAACAAAGCGATATGTCGATCATTGAGGAAAAGCATAACCAGGTCAAGATCGTGTCTTTAAATTACTAAAATAACTATTTTGATGTCAGTCCGATTGATGTAATGACCTAGTTACAGAAAAATATGACGTAGAGAGATTTATAAATATACAATATAAATATAAATACTAACGTCTGAAAAATGAATAATTCAAATCTATCGTTGTCTACAAAAGGAGACAAAAAGTGATAAAGTTATACCAACAATCAAATAAATCTGGATTATTATCTTGTAAAGAAAAAAAAGAGGGAAAAGTGCCTACCTCCGCATTATAGAACTTTGTCTTCACGTCTAAAGGCTTAAGGACCTAAAAGATATAAATTTTCCATATACATTAAGTATGTGGGAGTCTGATCTTTAAATAGTATGGAAAGACATTACTGACTCAAATTAAAACTGGTAATTTCATTAAATGTAATGTTTGCTTTAAATAGTATAGAAACCCATTACTGACTAAATTTAAAACTGGTAATTTTATTTAATGTAAAATTAGCTTCAAACATCATGGAAAGACATTTCTGACTAAAATTATATCTGATAATTTCATTATATGTAATATTTGCTTGAAATAGTATGGAAAGACATTGCTGACTAAAATTATCACTGATAATTTCATTATAATTATGTAAAACAGAGAAAATAACAATCCTTAAAGGAAGTTTAAAACAGTAAAATTGAAAATGTTGCAGGCTCCAGGTTTGATTGAGCCTTTTCATGGATGGTACTGTCAAGTGCAAACTACAGTCCATGCCCACTAGCACCAGCTTAAGCAGAATTCAACATTTCAACGTGAAAATGGCAAAATCTTGAATTTAGAAAAGTCCGCAGAAGTGATGTACTGTTTGCTTTTAAAAAGTATGGAAAGACATTACTGACTAAAAATCAAAATTGGTAATTTCATAAAATGAAATGTTTGCTTTTAATAGTATGGAAACCCTTTACTGACTACATTTTAAACTGTTAATTGTATTTTATTTGAAATTAGCGGAAAGAATTTACAGACTAAAATTAAAAGTTGTAATTCCATTAAATGTCAAATTTGCCTGAAATAGTATCAGGATAGACATTTAACTGACTAAAATTAAAACCTATAATTTTATTTAATCAAAAATTTGCTTCAAAACGTATAGAAAGATATACAGACTAAAATTAAAAAATGCAGCTCGAGATGAAAAGAATAGCTTAAACTAAAAGAATGAAAAGCCATCAAAAGTTGTTAGGTTTGTTTATTAAATGTAAAAATCGTATTTGTATATGCTATAACCGTATGGTAACTTACTGGGGAGAAAAAAAAAACAGTTCCAAACAACACAAAAATGAAGGGTAAGGAATTATAAATTTGTATTGTGATATAAATTTTTTGAAAAAATTCCGAAAGGCAAAAAAAAATCTCTTGGGTCAGCAGTTTTAAAAACAGGATATGTATGGACACAAGACACATAATTCTTCTTCTTTAGCCTGGCATCTAAGTTAAAATGTCATCAATAAAACAGCAATTAAAAGTATGTATTATTATAAGGTATTTTAGTAAAATCAAGATTTGTTTTGTTTTTGTTTGGTTTTATGGCACACAAACACAATTCAAGTCGTATGGCGCCAAAACAGGAAAGACGATTATGGCTAACCTCGGGTGTTACAAACTGAAAGTCTCACCAGGGTTCAAAACCACCTCACCTGCTTGAGCTCAGAAATGCATAGACTACAATAATTCGAACACATTTAGTTGCCTCTCAAGATCATGCAGGGATAAATGGTGGCTGCTGATTCCTCAACCAAAATAGGCAACCCCTCAGCCACAAGGGGAAGTAAATTCAAGAACTGAATCTTTAAGTAATATGTGCCTTCCATACAGAGATTGAATTCTTGCCAAAGAGTAACAGTAAATAATTCTCAATTTATGGAATTCACATGTAGACCAAAGAGTTAAACATTTAAACCATTTTGAAAACATAAATCAAAGGACTTGCATCTACTGGTATGTTTATTTCTTACCACACTACAGCGCCATTACCTGGAATTTGAAGAACTTTCTAAATGCCATCTTCTCACCCGCCTCCGTCGAGTAACTGACAGCGCAAACAAGTCTATTTATTAAAATATAACAACAATCAGATAGTTATTATGTTACTGAATAGCCAAAAAAATTACGCAATCTCTTTGAAGTCTCAATGATCAGAAGCAATTCTAATAACAAACTAAGAGTTTCCTACTTGAAATATATACAAGCCACTTGAAATATGGCTGGTAAAACGTGATGCTGTATGTTAAAGAATACAGTTTGACAAATGTTATTTCAAACGAGAGTTCAAGTTCCCCTGTCAGAGTTAATAAGAACCATCTTCAGATATGATGTATGGTGTAAGAGATGGTATAATAAATTGTAAACCAGAAAAAGATGATTAACTTCACTTATAAAAAGATTAGACTAGATACATTGGTCTAGCCTTGTTCATTACTGTTTCTAAAAACATTGTAACTAACATTTTAAATTATTACTTTATTTTGTTAACATGACATGTTCCTTGATCCACCCCTTTGCTTTACTAGGTCTATCGGTTGCAGTTGTTTTTTAGTGTTGTTTTTCAAGTTCTTTTTTTTTTTCAAATTGTGATTTAAACAATTTAGAAGAACAAGATGTGTTTGTAAAATATATAAATGTTCCTAAACACATGTCAGGAATAAGGTCAACTGTGGTCAAAGTCAAGTCAATGTTGAAAATTCCTGAATTTTGAAATTTGACCTTAAAAGTTTGACCTTACACAGACGTCTTGGTCTTGGTGAATTTCTATATCAAGAGATATGTTCATGTATAAAGCTCACAATTATGTGTTCCAAGAAATTCTTGAATTTTGAAATATGACCTTGAAAGTTTGACCTCATGCAAAGGCCAAGGTCTTATTAAGATTCTAAATGAAGCTTCATATTGAAAATTTTTATGTTCACGTATATAAAGCTCACATATGAGTTCCAAGTTCCTTGACCTCATGTTGTATGACATCATCGATGCTCTCGTTAGGTTTAAGGTGCGTCACAGGTTGCGAGTTTACACCCGTAAGTAAGAGCCGTTGGGAACTAGTCTGTAAATCAGCCTGCAATAATCAGAACATGGAAAAATACTCAATTTCCATATAAATAACAACATCAGTTTTTTACACAAAAATAAGAAGCCATAAAATGTCTTCACTGAGTGAGTATTTTCTGACTAAAAAAAACCCCACAAACCAAAATACCAGATCAATATTGGGGTCATCTTTGATATAAATACTGATAAATACAAATAAAAACAATGTAGAAACATTACAAATATGAGTCAAACTAAGATCCTAAATTGTTACATGTCATTTCATAGCAAGGAAAAGATCAACTTAAGAAAGCTCATGTCATGTACTTACCAAACACAGACTTTCAGTCTATTTAGATCATGTTTAAGTAAAGTAATGTACATAATCCCTTAGGATTACATTAAACAGACTGAGGGAAAAAAAACAGACCAAAAATTATGAAATTATGGTATAAATGTCAAAATCTGAATAAATTGATATGAAGTTAGACATGATGGAAACTTAAATGCTCTCGCTTTAATAATTTGTGTCCAAAAGCTTTGAGCTGTTGTCATCAACTTCAATTTTTGAAAAATAAATACTTTTTAGGTTTTTACACTTATCTGTTGCCTAGTAATTATATCTTTGGTAAGAGGTCAAATGTGTACTTGGAATTTTACTATGAGGGTGATTTTATTCAAAAGACTAAGTTATTATCCAAGAATTGCAATAAACCAATTGAACAAACAAGAATTTTGGTATCAATAATACATGTTCCGACATATGAGCTCAAAAATGGCATGACTATCTATAATTTTGTTTTTTGTAAAATTATTTTGTCTGGGTTTTTTCACGAATTTAAATAATATTTTTTGGGGTCATAATTATCTTAAAGGTCGGTTCTATCAACTGACCAGTTATAGCCAATGTCTCTGCAAGTGACCAACTATTAATCCCACATGATTTCTAAATCTGTAGTAAAGGAAAAATGACCATTACACCCTGTCTGCAATAAATTGTCATGGAGAAATTTCCCCTCACCCTAGGATCAAACTGATGACCCCTGGATTAAAAATCAAATGCTCTCCCTTTAAGCTAGGCAAGCGAACACATTACTATAAGCAAAATTAAGAAAAATCTAATTTTAGCTTAAATAAGCTTGACCCAATTAACAAAGAAGGGTAGAAGTTCATAGAAGGTAACAACACAAATATATCTAAATTGAAAGTGCTGTGTGAAAGAGAAATAAGATTTTTGGGGGGATTGGGTTTTAAATGGCACCAACACAGTAGACTTTCAAGCTTAACTGTTGGAGGAAAAAGTGCCACTTTGTGCATTATTTCAGGCATGTATTGGTACCTGAGTAGAACCACCAACGTTCTTTAAGCTAGCTGGATAGCTTCCTCACATGAAAGAATCCTCCTAAGTTCCTGATGGGAACACACAGCTTTGAAAGGCAAGTGATCTAAAGTCAACAATCTTATCAACTCTGCCATGGATGCCCCTGGAGGTAAGTTTGACAGACGGCCATTAAGAAGGAAGAGCAGAAGAAAGAGCAAATAGATGATCTCTATTTACTAATAAAAAATTTCAAGAGCATAAATATCATACAACTAAATATCCAAGCAATTCAAAAATAGTTGAACAGTTGGCACAAATAATTTTGTTTTGCTAAAAAAATTTGAAATTGGTTTCTCTAACCCTCGGAAGGATTGAATTATCTTCCCTTGAATGGATTGAGAAATGAGTATTTGTATACGATGAGGAATGATGCTTCAAGATGAAATCTGATTAATCGGTAAATGGTCAGACTGACTGGAAACTGTGTTTTCCCCATACACCCAGCCTTTCCCCACCATTAAACAATAAGTTCTGTTTATATAATTTGTCAATTCCATTAGTTTACAAAATTCAATGAGCAGTTTATCATCTGCCTACATCATAAAATATATTTTTTAAGACACGCAAGCATAAATCATGCTTTTGAGATTGTTTTTTTGCAATGTGATATATTATGAATCATAGAAACAAAGATTTGTCAGCCCTATAAGCTATTCTCAATGCAGTAAAACTAGAGTCATGTAAGAGTTTTCAATTATTTTTTTATAGAATCAGCTAAATTATAATTTTTGTCTTGACTTTAAGTGTTGCAGATACATTTAAAGTGATATGGCATCTTTATAGACTATTTTGCACTTTGTGCTGCCCTTATACTATTTTGCACTTTGTGCTGCTCTAAGACTATTTTGCACTTTGTGCTGCCCTTCTATCTGGGCATTCTCCAGGTTTACCTATATTGTCATGTTATATACATCCCACATGACCTTCAATCTGCTGAAATTGAAAGCGATTAGCCAGTTTGTCACCAGCATAAGAGTCAAACCAGCCTGCACTTCCATATAGTATGATCTTAGGTTATCCTGTTGGAAGAGCCATAAATTTTTTGTATTTTGACAATAAAATCATTCAAGTTTTGAACAACTATTCCAAAATTAACTAAAAATTAGGCAAATTACACAAATTCAGCAAATTACTTGTTAAGATTCAAATTTTAAATAATCTGAAAAGTCACATGCAGAAAATATTAAAAACCATCATGAATGTATCACAATTATTACCATGGGTTTAATAACTTGTATGACCAGGCTGTAGCCCAAATATTAGAGTAAAATCCCTTGTAACATGTTGTGGCACACCCAATTACTTTCAATAATATCTGCTTGTAACACCTACTTTAAGAAATGACCAAGTTTCTTTCAAAAGCATGAAATTTCTCTGTGACAAATGATCAGACACATGCATTGAGTCTTATGATCATTTGTTTCTTGATCATTTGTTTCTAATACCACTGATTAAGAAATCATGTGGGGTAAAGTCTCAGGTCAGTAACTTGTGGAGAAATTGAAAAACTTCTAGTGAGATATCCAGGAAAAGATGGTGATGTGGACTGCAGAGATGACCATAAAACTGACATAAAAAACAAAGAAACAAAACAGAAAATTCATACCTTTAACAGAATGTCTGAACATGATTGGTTACTGTCATTATGTACACTGATGTAGCTAGAAAAAGTCTCTCCAAGAAATATATTCCTGAAATGTGAAATGTAATACAAAGTAAAGTAGTTTAAACTTCTGAATAATTTTTAAGATATTATGTGTATGGTCATAATTGTTGTTTGATATATTGACCTATGATGTGCCAACATCTTTAGTAACATATCTTGCATGCTGCCAGTAAACACATCAACTTCTTGTTCTCGCAAGAATCTTTAGAATTGATAAAGACTGAATTGTATTACCTAATGCAATAAATATTACCTAATGCAATAAATCATACAGTCGTTTCATTTAACCACTGTGAGTAGAGCCATATTTATTTCTTTACAAGTATTTTGAACAATTCCTAGTGGCAACTGAATATACCCTGCTGGTGGCAACAGAATACACCCAAGCGACCAATGCTGAACAATATTAGCCGCCACATCTCTGGCCTTCACTGTTTGCTATTCTGTCAGTACTTAGTTTTATCTTGAAATTTTCCATAACAATTATGAAAAGTTTTGTTTAAATTGTCCATTTAAGATATATAGCATTATAGGGTTCATTACATTCTTTCATATAATACTATTTCAGATAATATTATTTGAAATTCATTTTCTTACGAAATATTAAAAGACGCTAATTTTATCAAAGGATATAAACTATATAACTGACATACCCGAAATTTTGTGGCAACGTAAGCAGGTCACTGACTCCAAAATATTCCAAATCTTTCGGTTTAGCTATATCAGCCTCATTCTGGTCCTGGGTCAAAGTGTACGGTACATCTCTCGCGTCACTTATAATCGGGTGAAATGGCATCAATGTCGGCTTCGTCAGCCGCATTACTGAAAGTAGAAATAAAAATCACGTCAAATTTGCGTAAAAAAGAAACTTTGTATGATTAAGTGCCGAGTACATTCACCTTTTCCAATGGTAACACAACAGGTATCTCCTATGACAACTCACGTTTTGTCTGACAATTTTTGTATCTTATCTTGTTAATTTGGTAAAAAAAAACATAATTGAACCATTTCATTTAATACATTATTTCTACAGATTCTTTTTTATTTTTTCTCTCTCATCTGATGGTGTACAGCTTTCACTGTTTGTTTGAAATATTAAACCCTTTCATTGATTTCTTTTTTAAAAATTCATTTTTATTTTATTTTTCCTTTCAGCTGACAGTGCACAGCTTTCACTATTTGTTTAAAACAGTCTTCACTGTTTGTTTAAAACAGTCTTCAAACAGATTTTATATTGTATAATTATGTAAATATATTTCTGCCAAAAGCTGAAGCCATTTCAAAAACCAAACCGTCATTGTCACATTTCTTATACCCTCATGAATATTCAATACATTAGTCAGTGCGCTATAACATTTAATCACAGCCGAAGGTGATTTGTGACAAAATAGACCTCCGGGAGAAAGAAAATCACACGCTCGTGATGGATCCATCATTTTAAGCCTGAAAAATATGCAACAAATATAGATTTATTGTCAGTTCTGGTGACCTGGCTTATTACCAAGTGTTTGTCTTCTTATTTGTAAAGTCTTGACAAGTTCTCAGATAGGGAAGACAAAAAAAAGCAAGAAATGCCACAGAGTTTGACATTATTCTGTCTTGTTCTCTTGTAAGGTCTAGCTAAACAAGTGTTATTTCCATACAGATACAATGTAAAGGAGATGAACTGATGAGATTTCTGATTTGCTAAACAGACAGATTTATTTTATAAAATAATAAAGAAATTTCAGACTCTTAATTGTGACAATGATATACCAAATAAACTGTTCAGTCAAACCTGTGTTTAAGCCTACCTTTGAATTAAGATAACTCTGCAAACAATGGCCATTTTAGATTACTTTTTTCAATTCAATTACAAGATTGAATGAAGTTACCTCCAAATAAATAAAAATTTAAGACCACTTGTCTCTAAAGACCATAATTTGTCTCTCCCATGGGTGTCCTATATAATCACTAAAATAATAAAGTCACAGCAATAACACGTATAATATCATTTTTTATTTTTCCAACGTTTCGGCAAATGTATGCCTTTTTCAAGGTAAATAAATAATAATAATATCAACGGACGTGACGTCGTAATTTTACAATTAACGTCACGCCCACTTTAGCGGAAAAACGAACAAATACGAACAATTCCAATTCATGATAAAAGAGATAAGTGCACCAAACAAAGCATCAAAATATAAAAACGACACAATAGATATCGGATTAATAAATACGAATATTTCCTATAGGGTTTAATTATAAAAAATGATAATAGGAAAAAACGAATATCTATGTTGGCGTAATTCTAGCATTTGTAGCGTGGATTGATATTTTTGAATTATTTAATTGAGTATAACAACTTTGTGTTCAATTCCTTCTGGAAAATGAGTTTTTAGCTTATGAATCCCAAAATGTTTCTTTGCACAAACGATCTAAAGTATTGTAAACAACATCTATGGGCATAAATAAAAGTCGGTAAAATTATGATCGTCCTTATTAAAATGATTTGCAACATTAGTGGAGAATGCAGGATCTACAAAATTGCATATATCAAATTTATGGCCTATTCATTCGTTTTAGACACAGGTTGTTTGTTTGACCAACATACTGCATGCTGCATTTTTACATGTTATCAAATATATACAATTCTTGGTTTTGACAGTTAGTATGTTGTCGTAAGTCAAATATCTCTCCTGTATTTGAACTGTAAAATGACGTACCACTATTAATACGAACACAATGAGAACAGCGTTTTCTACAACAACCTCCAGAATGTGATGTAAAGTCACTGTCAGTATCAAATCTAGATCTAACTAAAAAGTCTTGTAAGTTTTTTTTTTTTTTGTTTTTTTTTTTTTTTCTATATAATCACTATAATACAAACTGTATTTAGTTTTTGCCATCAACCAATTGTCACAAAAAGACCATTATTACAAAGGTTAGTATTGTCTCAGTACCAAAATAATTAACTAATTTAAGAATTATCAAAATGGCTTTGTCGAGTTTGTTTTGATAATAGAAACAATGTTTTAGTATTATGTGCCTAAATTAGTATGTAACTTTTGTCATACAGTGCCCTGAGGTGGTCTATAATCATATGTTTCAGTGAGCTCTAAGATTGACTTAAAATTACTGGTCAAAGTACTTCATATTAATGACAAAAAGCTGGAACACATGGCTTTTTATTGTGTCATAAGAACAATATTTATGATAAAAGACTGTTTATGTGGTCCAATAAATCTTCCTTATTTTGCTATTATAATGATTAATGCTGGACACTTATTCTAAACTAAGCATAGAATTGGTCACAAGTTGCTTGAAAAACAATAAAAGAATAAATAATAAAAGAAAGTACAAAGAATAATATCAACTAACAAATAAATGTCATTTTTTCTTTGAAATGACATATGCAACATTCATCATTACAAGGTGACATTCATAATGATAATACAATGTACTGTGCTTCTTTTCTGCAATATTTTCTCATAATCACATCAACACTGTTAAAGGTCATTTAACAACTTATCAATTTCACAGAAGGAGGATAACCTCAAATTCGGCCTTTGTGCATTACTTCATGCATTTAAACTTGTACCAGTCCTAAGAGAAGTACGTGTCAGAACCACAATGGCACCGACGGTTGCTGATTTAGCTGAAATGCAATCATCAGGATTGAAGTGTATACATAACGATTACGCATGTGTTACCGAGAATGCACAACCACTGACCTTCTCTAAGCTAAAATTTTTGCTCAAAATCTACAGTTAAGGAAGAAAATTTGTTCAATGCTAAATATAAATATATTAAATTGACTGAGGCTTCTGCAAACCAAGTTTCATCTTAATAATACTTTCCAAATTGTGTTTTTCCCAGCTAATCGGGTTGGGGGATGACATCCATTGGCTGAACGGTTTAAGAGAAGATGATCTTTAGATTGCCAACAGACAAAGGCAGATCGGAAAACCTTATACCTGAGCAAGACTTAGTATCTTATCTTAATTAGCATGCAGAGGTGAGCTATTTAATGGATTTATATTGAAATTTGTTGAATAAATATAACTAGAACTGCCACTATCATGGCGTGAATACCCCCGCATACCACTTTGTCAGAATCAACAGTGGCCATTTAGAGCTCAAGGACAACCTCCCTGCCAAATCTGAGGTTACTAAGCCAGTGCATTGATAAGTTATGTATTCTACATGCTTCAAATGTGAAAATGTCAAAATCAATACATTGCGGACAGGACATTCTTTAGCAATTGAGAAGAAAAGCTTTTTTTTTGTCAAGGTCCCTGTGACCTTGACCTTTGTCCCAGTGACCTCAAAATCAATAGGGGTCACCTTATAGTCATGATCAACATCCATGCCAAATATGAAGACTGTGGGTCAAAGGAATCTTAAGTTAATGGGTGGACAAACTTTTTGAAGTCAAAGTCCCTATGACCTTGACCTTTGATCCAGTGACCTCAAAATCAAAAGGGGTCATCTACTAATCATAATTAACATCCATGCCAAATATGAAGACTGTGGGTCAAAGGAATCTAAAGTTATTGGGCAGAGAAACTTTTTGAAGTCAAAGTCCCTGTGACCTTGACCTTTGACCTGGTGACCTCAAAATCAATAGGGGTCATCTACTAATCATGACTAACCTCCATTCCAAATATGAAGACTGTGGGTCAAAGGAATCTTAAGTTATTGGGTGGACAAGCTTTTTGAAGTCAAGGCCCCTGTGACCTTGACCTTTGACCTGGTGACCTCAAAATCAATAGGGGTCATCTACTAATCATGACTAACCTCCATTGCCAAATATGACGAACTGTAGGTCAAAGGAATCTTAAGTTATTAGGCGGACAAGCTTTTTGAAGTCAAGGCCCCTGGTGACCTCAAAATCAATAGGGGTCATCTACTAATCATGACTAACATCCATGCCAAATATGAAGACTGTGGGTCAAAGGAATCTTAAGCTTTATTGGGCGGACAAGCTTTTTTGAAGTCAAGGCCCCTGTGACCTTGACCTTTGACCTAGTGACCTCAAAATCAATAGGGGTCATCTACTAATCATGACTAACCTCCATGCCAAATATGAAGACTAAGGGTCAAAGGAATCTTAAGTTATTGGGCGGACAAGAAAAAACCTACGGACGGACGGCCGGACGGACAAGCTGATTCCAGTATACCCCCCTTACAACTTTGTTGTGTGGGGGTATAATAACATTCAACAGATGTAGAATATCACTGTGTGGCATTTTTCACAGATGTATTATGGTAATAGAGTAGGATTTTTATTTACAAATATCTGATAAAAAATGGATATATTTCATAATAAATCATGTTGTCTTTTTTATCACTCTTTTCCATTTCACTGCTTTATAATCACAGAGAAAATAGATGACTGTTTGTCAGATAGGTAAAGAAATCAAGATGATAGCGTGATGTTTATGCTTACTCATTTCTGTTAGAAAAAAAAGAAGCATTTTTATTGTTTCTTTTATACTTTTCAGTTAGTTTTTTGTACAGGTTTATATGCATCTTCATTTACAAGTGATTGGCATTATTAGAACACTTTATCAGCTGATATATATTTTTTTTTTTTTTTTTTTTTAAGATTGACTTAACCCAACACAGTTGTGAAGAAAAATTTTCAAAAGATAAATCAATTTGGGGATCCTATTAAGTATTTCATGTATTTAGTCAGCCAATAGTATCGGCCAAATGGTCACACTGCAAAGATTTAAGGGCTAGCCTGGCTCTATACTGGCGGCAAAGGGCTTAGGTTATTAAGTAGCTTTCAAAAAGGAAACGTTTTAACATGTTTAAAGAGGAGTATTGTCTTTATA